TTTTTTTTAAAAAAATCATTAATACGTGAGTTTTGAAAAAAGCGATGTATTTTATGTTTCTTAAGTTATCATGTACTGCGCTACTTAATTATTAATAGAGTACAAGTTATTAAATTTTAAAGATTTCGGTTATTTTATTAGAATTTTATTAAAAAAAATGGCTCGCAAAGCCCGAAGTTAAAATGATAGGACCATATATAGTTTTGTTAAACTATGTTGACAGCGCACCCCATTGTGATGCCGCATTAATATTTATTGTCACTAAATTAATGCGTATAACTTATATAAAATGTGCATGTTTTTACTGAAAATTGCTATTCTAGCTAAAGATGAAAATTTTTAAAATAATTTTTTCAACGGATTTCGAATTGTTTCACGATTTCAATTTAACTAAATTTGCCAAATTTATCTTGAGATTGTTTCAGAACACAGTTCTAAATATTTAATTAATTAAAAAAAAATTAAGGTGGATATAGATCAAAATTCAAAAGGATGTACCCAATGGAATTCTATTTGATGGGTTATCATTTTAATATTAAAGGTTTTGATGGCATTTTCCACCTTTCGTAACTTTCACGACTTTGCCTTAAAAAAGTTGGCAAAAAGTCAAAATTAACACCTATCGAAACCTAGGTTTTGCCAGCAGAAAGTTTTATTACTACTTTTCTTATTCCTTCCATAAACAACTTTCAGGCAAATTTAATAAAACATTGATAAATATATTTTGTATTTTAAAAAGAAGTTAAACAAAATACGTGTAAAAATTATTAATATATATATGTTTAAAGTGAAAAATTAAATAAATTTTTCTAATGCCTTCGAAAAGCAGGAGAACCGATGATATGCGCATATTTGACATTTCAAGATTGCGTTGACGTGCAAAATAATTTCTTCCTTTGGAAAATTTTATTATCACTTATAGTATCCTCATCATTTTACTCATTACCACGAATCGATTCAGATTTATTAGCGGATTTTGATTTGGTAACTGATATAATAACTGCAAATTAATTTACGACAAATTAAAGGATGATTACCAGTAATAGCTTCATGAAAATTATGCATTGGATAAATATTTTTTTGTCTTTCAAATTCAAAAGTTTTCAAATAAATTACGTGACAAGAATAATTGAGAAAAGCCAAATCTATTTGTCTTTTTGAAGAATAAGATCATACTTCGTTATATTTTAGTAAGTGCCTTACCCATGATAATATTGCAGAACTTAGCTTGTGTCTGCTCCTTTAATATATAAAGTATTCTCATCCGCGTCACGTTTTCGTCTTATTAATTGTTAGTTTTAGAGTTGAAAGGAATTCTGGGATTTTGAAATCACATTTACAAAATTAAAACTCTTAATATCCGTTAAAAGTTTCGAAAATTTATTAGAGTATCATCAAACTATCCGAAAATCCGATCGATTATTTTTAGAATTTTCATTACCTTTATAGCCATCAACCATCCTTGAGGAATTATTGGCCGTAGGACGAAATCTTGAACGTATCTTCAACCAAGAAACCTTATTCTTTGAGGAACAAAGCCTCAAAAAAGCCAGCTACGTTGGTTTTCAGAAACGGGTACAGGGACAATATTCGCAAGAGGCATTTTTCATCCTTATTATAGACTGGTATTCGATATCTTTTCCCAACGACATGCTAAAACGTTTCCATATTCAAAAGCTAATTTGCATATCTTTGCTTAGATTCAAGAATAACATTCTTTGGATCACACGCCCGCAGAGGCAGACAAATCCAGCACAACTATTAAAAGGAAAGAAAGAGAAAATTAAGAATCTTAGTAAAAAATAATCTTACATACTCTTGTTATTTACCTGTTAGTATGTCATTGATAACCATCCTGGTCTGTATTCGTCTGCAAACGTTTGTGTTCCAGGGCTCTGGAAAGAATCATTGATGTCGAAAGGTGACATGAACTTTAATAACAAATAAATTTATTTAGAGGTTGATGATTTATCCTTCCTTACCATTGGATGCAGGTTGAAATCTTTATTTTATTACATAAGATCACCTACCAGTATGAATTACCATTTGTTCATGTTCGACCTATCATGAGAGATTGAGTGCTAGCATGGAATGTACATAACCAACTCCTCCTCTGACCCAGTAGACCTTTATTAACGACAATATAAGGGCGACTGAATAGATAACTTCTAGTAAAAAGTTCACATATATCAGAAAGCATTTAAAGTAAATAGTGCTTCCGAGGAATCTAGAAAACAAATATACTTATTAATATCATCCATTAGATAGCTCATAAATATAGAGAAGGTGCTGGGACGAAAAGGAGTAAGAAATTTATGAGGAATTTTTAACCCAGTTCTGGCTAAAAACAGGTAATTGCTTTTTGAAGAAAATATTCTCTTCCCAGTCTCGAAAATAACACGAATCTATTTGCTAGAACTCCCATTCGAGCAGGTACATAATGAAAATGTTAGGGTAAGTGGAACGAGTTTTTCTTTTATAAAATCATCTTCAAAAGTTACCAAGGAGCCCACTCAGTCTAAACGAGAAGAGTTCAATACTCGAGAATACCAAGACCATCATCCTTTAATTTAACATCATCACCCGTAAAATCTGTCAAAACACCATCAACAGTTGAAACACCTAATATCTCTAGACCTGTAATCTCCATCATCTCTTCTTTTTCGCAAAAAATGAATGTGACTAATGTTACAATCAATTATGGCGGAGGATCAGATGAACAACAAGAATAAGTTTTCTCATTAGAGTAGAATAGCGTTTTAATGATTTAATAAATAGCAAATTTCTTATTTTTATCATTTGAAAAATAAAACACACTTTATTATATTTTTGTAAAATAAACGTGAGAAAAGGACTAAGAAAAGATATTGTGTTTAAAGAGAGGAATAAAGCACGAAATGAAATAATATACTGCTTTCCGCCGGCCTTTTGAAATTTAGTGTAAAATATTAATGGCAAAATTAACTTTGGATGTTGCTAAAGAGATTGCACGTAGCAGAGGAGGTGAATGCATTTCTGAATGATATATCAATTGTCAAATGCCAATGTTTTGGAAATGTGCTGAGGATCATTTATGGTCTGCAAGACTTACTAGAATAAGAATGAAAAAACATGGTGCCCATGGTGTGCAGCTGAAAATAGTTGTACTCAAACGATTGAAGATATGAGAAAGTTTTGCAGAAAAGAAAGGAGGTATTTGCCTTGCAACTGAGTATGTTAATAGACGGGATCCTCTTGAATGGCAATGTAAAGAAGCATATGTAGAAAGCTTCAGCAAAGGATATTCTTAAAGGGACTTGATGTCGAAAGTGTAGTACACCAGGTAGAAAACATGTGATACCAAACCAAAAGATTATCCCAGTACAAGAACATATTACACTAGAACAAGAATGTACCCTACCCAAAGACATGATACACAGCACTGAAAATGTAGTCAACGGCGATTCAATATTGATATAGCAAATAATATTGCTCAAGAACGAGGTGATAATTGCCTTTCTACAGAATATGTTAATACAGATACCCCGATGCTTTGGAGATGTGCCAAAGATCACGAATGGTCTACAACTCTTTATCGAATAAAAAATACGGGAAGATGGTGCTCAAAATAGTCCTTGTGATCTTTTGGAAGCTAAGGAAATCACTCACAGTAGAGGAGGTATGTGTCTTTCTACGGAATATATAAATGTATGTGTAATGAAGGTCGCAAATGGTTATCAAGCTTTAATTGTATAAAGCACACTAAAACATGGTGCACATATTGCTTAAATAAACATGAAAATCTATGTCGCGAGTCATAACTAACTTTCTTGGTCCACCTTCCAGCATCTTCCGACCAGATTTCTTGAAAATACCTGAACATCCTCGAGGACTAGAACTCGACATCTACTATCCACAATACATATTTCTATAGAAGTACAAGGTAAACAGCATAAGCAACATATAAAGTATTTTAACAAATATCCGGAAGAATTTCAAAAGCAATTGATGCTTGATCAGATCAGAAAGAACTCTGTGAAGAAAATTGCATTGCCTAAGATACGTTTGGTATTATGAGGATCCATACGTAATTATCCCAAATCAGCTTCGAGAGTTGGGTCTCATAAATAAACTCAAAACTTTAAATGTTTTTGCGATTTACTATTATTTTTTTTTTCTACTATAATTTTGTTCATCCAGAATTACACAAAAATTGAATAAAAATGTTTCTGATATCACATTGTATACATACTAAAATCGCGAGCCCAATGTGAGCATATTAATTCTTGCCTATGTAGATTGAAACGGTGTTTCTATACTGATGCACGCAGACCAAACCATTTTTTTCGTTAGTCTAAACTACCTATCCCAACACTAACATGGTTTCATTTGTCTCAAGCATCGATTATCCTGGGTAAATTAAAAATGGTCGCCAGACATACTTATACACGTGCAGTATCAGAAATAATAAAGTTCCATCGAAAATTTATGTTGTTTGCCTCTCTTGATGTTAATAAGGTCCTTGGAAACCTGGAAAAAAAATTTCATTGCAAATACACAGCATGACCGAAAAAAATATATATACCAAAAATATCATCATACAGAACCAAGGTATTGCGCATTATTTTTTCCGGTTGTTCGCCATGAATTTCTCAGTGAAGGGGGTTTTTCTTATCATACGCCAAATAAGATTATGACGACATGACCAATAGATAAATGGCATCATAACAATTTTAGGTGATTAAATCACATGCTTGATATCAGTAAAAAAAATTTTTAATCATCAATATTTAAATACCGCCGTTCGCTCTTTCAAAAGTTCTTGTTAAATATTCTCACGATGAAAGATATAATCAATATTAGTAACTCTATTTTCCCCACTTTTAATACCCTATCCTCGTCTCAAACAGAGATGGACGGTAAACGAGGTAATTCTTAGCTTTTTTTATTTACTAATTTATGAATAAAAGCTTCTTTATAAATATTCTTTTTTTTTTTAGATTTGCAGTAATGGCTCAAAAATGCGGAGAACCGGATCTCTACAATACGTTTTTCCGTCATTTCAGGTACTTCTCAAAGGGTTTATTTCTTATAACAAAATCATACATTGTCGTTTATACTCTTTGATGAATAACGCAATTTACCCCGTAGGTCACGATCAACGCCCAATTTCAGTGTAAGAATGCTCGGGTCTATTATGATAACGATAAATACGGTGTGGGACTTTTTACCTTATCTATATATGAAGAATTCTCTTCCAAGCAAAAAGAAGAAAAAGAAGCACAGAAAGAAAAAGTTTATGAAGCCAAAGATATTTTTACGCAAACATTTGGATCATATTGCAAATTGGATAAACAACATCTTACAACCCATAGACCAAGTGGACATGTGCCCGAAAACTATAAACTTTGTAGTTGCGGGGCAAAACCCTAAGCCCATTTTGGCAAAAGTCGAAACTTTCAGAAATTATTTCGACAGTTTCGATAACAACTTTGCGAATTTAACGGTTTTAACAGATTTATTGTATCACAATGTAGATTAAACGATTTTTATTTGCTTTTTATTTTAAATTAGATCAAAGTTTCCAAAATAATGCATTATTTATCGAGTTGTTTTAAATTTGGAAGCACTACTACTTGTTGAAGAATTAAAAAAATTACCTTATGAAGAAATGATAATAGAGGCTGGAACCGGGTTTATTTTATATTCGGATTTATTTAATTTTAAAACTGAATATCTAATCTCTATTTCCAAACTGTGCAGATCAAATAAATTTTTTTAAAAGTTAATGGATGAAGAAGAAGAAGATAAGTACTGTCATGAAGAAAATATGGGAGATAAATGATGTAATTGGATTTGATGAAAAATAAATTAATTCAATTTCAATGTGATTTTTTTTTCTTATATAATATAAATATATGATATTATTATAAAAGAAAGTAGAGAAAGATGATCTTTGCTATATACGATTTGCTCATCTCGTAAAACAAAAAAATAATAATTTTTAAATTCAAAAATAGTATTTTAATATCAAAAGGTTTCGATGGGGTTTTGCCATCCGTCAAAACTTTTGCCACCCGTCGAAACTTTCGAATTTTGCCTTTAATGTTTCGACGGGTTTCGATTTCGATGCCTGTCGAAACCTCCGGGTTTTGCCCGGCAACCTAACTATAAACTTCTCTTGGAAAGTCAATCTCAAAAAAATAATCGCAGTATCATTCGGAGCATAGTGACCAATCTTGCATGTCACATTCTGATTGCTACTTTCTTAAAGATAGAGTGTGCTTTTCATCTATTAAAGGATTCTTTACAGGTAGTAATAACAAAAGTAATTTTAAATTATTATTTTTTTTTATCAAAGTTTGGAATATTGTTCAGACACAATTCTCGGTATATTGTTTGAGTAAAGTTTAATTTGCATAAATTTAAAATGCAGGCGGTTGAAGAGCGAATTTTTTTTTAAAAAATGTTGTAAATACACAAAATAAAGTTAAAAACTTTATTTAAACATAATAACTTACATGAATTTTTAATACAACTTCTAAATTACTTCTTGAAGTTTGAATGTAATCGATAAAAACTAATTTAATTTTATTTACTATAAATCTCGTATGAAGTATATTTATATTTAATGATTTTATCCAATTACTAGTGAGAGCATGCCTATGGCCTTGAAATGACTTTTACTTATTTCGACTTGAAATTTCTAAAAAATTTGGTCATGACAAGGTCAATAAAAAAATAGTAAATGATCTTGTGATATAACATCACTGGAATTTACTTTTCTTGAAATATAATAATAACATCATTATCATAAGATTATTAATTCCTTCGTATTATAGCTCTCAGAATAAAAATAATGCTTAGATAAACTAAAAAACCGTGTAAAGAGATTCTAATAGTAATAAATTTTATACAGTTTTACGCCTATAAAAGGAGTTAGAATTATTAATTTAACTTTCAATCAGCAAATAATACTAAATTAGTTAAATTACTTAAAAAAAAATTCTTGAAATCAAACATCAACTTTCATTTCATTATTGTTTGAGAAAGAAACAATGGTTCCTTTTTATTATAAGCACATTTATATACGCATCTGTAAGTCAATTTTATTTCAAAAGAAAATGTCTCCACTTTACTTTACGTATACTCAAAATTCCGAACCCTATCACGTCATAAGCTTGGGCCTCACTTTTCATTAATTATTAGTATCATTTTAATATGACAAATTCTAATATTTTTTATTCTACACCAAATAATAATTATTTTTTTTTTTCGAAAATGTTATTTAGGCGTGAGCAGTAAAAAAAAATCAAATCCAACTGAATATTATGATGAATCTATATATTCAATGAAATTATTCATTTATTGAATAACTTAATTATGAATAACTAAAATAAATTCTATTCAAGAATTTTTTAATATCCAAATCACTAGAATTTGATATCTGAATAATTTTAATTATCCGATATCTCATACTCTTTCCAGATTTTTTATAATTAACAATGACACATGTATCAAATAAAAAATTTATATCGAATTTAGTTTTTTTGTGTCGAAGTTATATTGATGGAGTTCGTTGTGTTTATTATTAATAGATGCCTCTTCATTTATAGGTTCATGCACCACTTCATTAGATGGACGAGTTTTTCAAGGCGTATTTTATTTGCTTTTTTTTAATTGGAACCGGAGTTTGTATGACGTGTATGTAAATACCCATTCTTTCTGTTAAAATTAGATGTATAGCTTTAATAATACTGCTTTTTAAGAAAAAATTAAATATATATCTTTATACAACCTGATAAACAAAGTTACGAAGTCACTTGTACCATTCAAATTTTTAATTAATAGATGAATTTTTAAGTCTGTTAAATGTAGAGAGTTTACTGGTTAATGTAAATAAATGCTTCGTAACTTTGTAATCATAATTCATAAAAACTAGTTGGGAAAGAAGAACTCGCTTAATAGTTTAACTGAAGTTAAATGTTAGATAACCACAACCACATATAATTTTGATTTACTTAGCTGACACCCATTGTATCGTGAATTTGTAATTATTTTATAATATTTATTAGAAATGTATTAGAAATTAATTATGGATAGCATAATGGAATTTATTTATAATAATTATTTTTTTTTCTTTTTTTTGACTGTTTGTATAGCAATTACTTTATATGAAGCCTTACTTTATTAAACCGTTAGATAAGATAAGAACAGTTATCAAATATGAAATAGCATATTGAAACGTTAAAAGAAACTATTTATGGCTCCGGGCCTAGTATTTTATGAACGTTCTTGTTTTTTTATTTTTATCGCGCAAGAGCGGAAGACTATTTCATTGCCGCCTCATGAACGACTTTTTAAACTTTATTATTTTGATGGCACGTAAAAAAGTTACACCGATTAATTGTTTAATGTGACGCATTTTTGTAAAAAAATGCTGTAAGTAACAAAAATCTCATTTGGCTTCCTAAGTAAACATCATTTCCATATGTTTATTTGAACGATTTGTTTTCTTTCCGTTTTCGAACTCGATTCATTAAATTCTCATTAAAACAATTTTTTAAAAAATTTTCTTTTATTCACTATCAGAACAAACATTATGTCTACAGATCTGTCAAGAAACTCGATGTGACTGATGATAAATTTCTCGGACATTCTGGTAATTTTTTGTTTTCCTTTATGAGTCTTCAGTTACGTGAAGGTATTAACTAATTCTACCTTACAGTTCTTCGTACCTATGTGACTAATACTTTTCCGAAGAATATATCCTACTTGCAGTTCCTTAATGAAATATTCCCTCCGTACGCGAAAACTTGGGAAGGAATGAAAAGCTCTTGGAGTAAACGATTTTTGCGAGAGATAAATGATTTGGGAAAAGACGTGATTGAAAAGGTGAATATGTATTTTTTTTTTAAAATGGAAGGGCGGCTCTTGACGAGTAAATCCCGGATAGAGTATGGGTGAAATTCCGCCCAAGTGATGGGTGAGGACAGCTCTTGACGAGTAAATTCCGGATAGAGTATGGGTGAAATCTTAGTCCCACCATGCGCATCCCATTTTCATTCTGCTCTTCATACATATTCATAAACTAATAAAATCAATTTCTCATGTTTTTCTAAAGGTCAAGCTAATGAGGTGGAAAATGCAAGTGAAATCAAAGCGATCGGCTTTTGATACAATACCTGACGTCCATCCATCTCCAAGGAAAAAGAAAAAAACAAGATGACACCTTAAAAACATTCGCAAACATTTAAAAATAAAAACCTATCGCTGCAGCATTTTGTCAATGCATCAAAAATGTCACTTTTATCATGGGCGATATTTTAATGACCTACTGGAATGTTTCTACAATAAATCATTTTATAAATATATTTTTCTTAAAAAAAAAAAAAAAAAAAAAAAAACACTTAATAATATTTCTCGTCAGTTAGTCCTCGACAAAAGTGTTTCTTATTTTTCTTAATCTGTTGGCTCCGTTTTTATTTCATTTTCAGTAGAAAATTATCTATTTTAAATAAAAAAAAAATACTTTACAAACAAGGTAAGTTTTATTGTTTTGTACTTTGTCGATGCTCTGACGATAAAAGGTCAATCCCGCGTACTAACGAGGTTTTTTTTTTTTTTTTTAAAAAAAATTTCAAGGGCTAGAACACAAACATTGAACGAAATGAAAATAAGGACGTCTTTGATTAAGTATGAAAGTGTGAAAGAATATTATGTTCAAAAAAGGCGTAAAATGATATAGTGTGATGAATTGTCATAAAGAAAAAGAAAAGAAAAATACATACTGCATTTATAAATATAGTGAATTAATAATTTTTTACTTGCAAATGATTCTTCATAAAAACAAATTGTACTGCAGCGTTAGTAAGATACACTGTATCAGTAGAGATTTTTATATTAATAATGGAGCTTTTCATATAAATTGCAAAATTTTGCCTTTCCACTCAATAATTGTTACATAAATTTTTATTAATATGATAAAATTATTACTAATATAATTTTTAATACTAAATGGACCGAAATAAATATTATATTTATTAGAGGTTGGAACCGGTTAATTTTTAACTGGTTAATTAACCGGTTAAAACGGTTAACCGGTTAAAGATTTTTTTTAACCGGTTAAAATAGATGAATTTAAATCCGGCCGAAATTCAATTTCCGGCCAGAATTAAGATTTTTATGATTGCAAATTATTGTCTAACTCTGGCCAAATTTATAGTACTGGCCAAAGTTAATTTTAACCGGTTAATTAACCGGTTAACAAATATTTTAACCGGTTATTAACCGGTTAAAGAATTTCGGCCGGTTCCAACCTCTAATATTTATATTTTGCCATCATTGAAGTTTTAATGCTTTGAACTTTTCCAATTTGCACGATCTTTACCAAAGCTGCCAGTGCCAATCTCTTGAAAATATTTAAAATGTTTAAAATGTTAAATAGTTTAAAATGTTTGTATTCGTAATATTCAATATCTGAAATAATTTCTTTAACCAACTTGTCAGTTTGCATTTTTTTTTTGTTAATTTTGTTTATAACGAAAATTATAAAATTCTTGAAGAATAGGCAAAAAAAAAAAGTCAATGTAACGTTAAACCGGAATTTATTATCGATGATTGGCATCTGCGCAAATTTCTATTTTATCAGATTCTAAGGAACTTTGGGATTGTAATTGATTCAAAAAGTAGAATCGATATTAGAATTAACTTTTCGTTTTGTTTTTTTAATATTTCAGATTCAATCTAATATTTTTATCTAGCTTGATTTTGCATTTTTCTTTAATATTTATATTCTTCATTAGGTTTAAATCGTTTCTGGAAGTATTAGGTAAGTGAGTTTTTTATTTTATTTTAATTTTAATGTTTTTATTTAAAGGTTTGACTACAGCGAATCGAGTAATTCTTTGAGAATTCGATTCCAATCTCTAACTAAACTAATAAATATCAATGAATTTGTACTGTACATTGTTATGTTGTAATTTTGCATTTTATGAAGCACATATTTAAGCGCATTTACCAGTCTTAAATAAATCGCATTAATAATAATTTATTTATATTCAAATAATTTGATTGAAGATAAAAAAAAATAGAAAAAAGCCGCGCAAAAGAGCCCGCCGATACATCAGCAAAAATTACATGATTTATTGCATGTACAATTTTTTTTGATTTTGATTAGTGATTACTTATTCTAATTTTTATCAATCATTACTTAAATTCTATTTAAATAATTATTTTTTATATTATCTCTTAAATTGTTTAGCAAACAAATTTGCCTATAAACTTGAAAAAAAAAAGTATTAATTTTCTTAATAAAATATTAAATAATATAATAATTATATAAAAAAGTTATTTTTAAATATATGGGTTGATTGCTAGGAAAATCAGGTTCCGGGAATTTTTTAACAAAATTGAGATTTTTATTGCATTTTAGTTTTTGATGTTATTAGATTAAAATGTATTAAGCTCTTAATTTAAGTGAAAAATTTCTCGGAACCTGATTTTCCTAGAAACCCTCCCATATATTCAAAAAATTTATTATAATAATTTTTCAAAATTTTCTTTAACGTTAAGATTCATATGTTTACTAACTAATTGAATCACTTTACTACTAATAAAAGTTATAAAGTTTTTTAATAAATTATAAAGATTGTAATTAAAGTTATTTTTATGATAAATTTATAATGTCCTATTATGATTAATATTGCTAAAAGTAAATGATAAAATTTTTTAAAAATTATTTTTTTTTTAGTTTATAAGTAACTTTAGATTTTTTATTATATATATTTTTTTATAAAAAAAATTAAGTATTAATTTTAGAAAAAGGAAAATACCTTTCATTAATATTGGCAAAGTATCATCACGGACTAATTTTTTTTTTTTAAAATATTTATTAAATAAAAAATTATATTTTATTCATTATTTTTTTAAATACAAAATCACGAGGTCGGTTAAAATCGGTCAAAATCGGTCGGTCAACCGGTCAGTCAGAAAGCTTTTAACCAACCAACTGAAACCAAATTAACAGCAAGAATTATACGACAATTTTATTAATGCGTGTAGTTGATTATCACATAAAGGTTTGAAAGTATAGAAAAGAATTTTATAAATCATAGGGTTTTGTAAGTCATCAACCAACACCTTTAATTCTAGATTTATTATTTAAGAAAATAGCATAACAAATATTATGAAAATAATAAAAAATAATAAATAAAATATAAATATAAAAATTATAAGTAAAGTACACATGAATGATCTAGTAACTATGTCTGATAAAATCCCATCATAAGATGGGATTCGGTTTATGGCGGGAAGATAATATGGTTGGAAATTTCGAATTTGGCAGGAAGTACTTATTCGACTGACGCGCTAAGTAAGTGCCTGGGAATTATTAAGGGGGGAGTATAATGATACCAAGTGTTGTTATTGATGGGAGCGATTGATTATAAGTTGTGATTTTGTTCGAGGATCGGTGGTAAGGTTAATGGAATTTCAAACGATTGATTAGAAATTCGATCAATCACGGGGGTGGAAATTGACGTAAAGTGTTTGTTTTCTGGATTGTTTAGATTTTCAATCCAACTAATTATGATCAAGAATATTTATTATATTAATAAATTATTTTTTTTTTTTAAAACGAAAAAGAAAAAAAATATATATGATAACTTACTGACTATATTTCTTTGCATTATTCAATGACTTAATCAGGTCTTTAGAATAATCCATATCGACCAACTTCCTAATATAATATTGAATAAGTTTCTCTCTGTTCAGTTCGTAGTCGTCCTTTTTTTGTTAATCATAAAGTCAAATGAATTAAAATTTTTATTTATAAATAACGATATTGATAGCGAGGTTTTTAAAGTTTAAGAAATATTTGTAAGATTTAGATCAAATGAAAATAATGATTTTTCATGCAACTTTTATAGCTAAAAATGTCGACACACGTGAAGCAAACTCCCCCATAATCGTTTAGGGTACAAATCTTTAATGTTTAAAAAACGATATATGATTGGTTTATCATGCAAATCATCATTTATTTGGACGACTGAAACAAGGGGAAAAATTAAATTTACGGTATGAGTGACACCTTAATAAACAATACAAAACAAAGAAACAAAGAAATATGAACAAAGGGAATAAATATCCCCAATTATGCAGTTTAATTAATTATAATGATAATGGATAAACAATGCTTATTAAGTCATTTCTTGGAGAATTACCGTACTGCAGTGAACTTATAACTGAGGAATCTGCGGTAAATAAAATTCCGAAACTGTCATTTAAAGATTTTGACAATACGTTATTTTAAGTAGTTAATTGGAGAAGCCTGAGGCCAGTGTGTCCAGGCAGAATCTGACTGCTCAAGCAGAAAAGCAGATATTTGCTCCAGTAATTGGCGATATGATTTGCTAATTATTGTTGTATTACATAAATAACTTTTTTTAACATTGCGCAATTGTTTAAAAAAAAAAATCGAACAGAAACAATAACAATATTTAACAATGATTAAAATTTTAGTGAAGAATATAAACAAGCAATTGTTTAAATTTAAAAAGCATATTGATAGACATAACGCGCTTCCTTTTTTTTAGAGCTATTAGATATTTTGATCCAAAATATATATAAGCTAAAAGTAATAGACATGATTTAAAGAAATTGATGAATTTTCATCACCAGAAAATAATTTAATTAATGAATTATAATATACGTCTTTCAGAAAAATCTATTGTAATGCTAAATTTTTTTAAATATTATAATTCTAATTAACAAATATAAAGTATAAAGTGCCAACGAAATATAAAAATAAATATAATAACAAATCATGTATCGCAGTAGATTTTGGACACTCTACCGGATGCATAATTCAACGATCCACTTCCAACAGCTACCCGCTGTTTAAAACTTTTGAAAGCGAACCAACCTGAAAGAGGAACCTAAAGGGCAATCTACATAATTGCGATTCGACCCTAAAAAAAAATAAATAAATAAAAAATAATAAAAATAAAATTCTTACCGCAGAAGATCGGACTTAAAAAAAAAATATATATAATAATTAATTAATCACATACTGTAAAAATCACAAATCATCTATCGCCGAAGCTCGAAGCGAAATAAAAAAGAAAATATTCGATCGCTGAATTTGTAACCCTTTTCAGCATTCTTTTCTCTTTGCCACCGCGTATTACTAAAATTTCTAATACAATTAACTATACTATTAATTCGATTCATTGTGTAGGTACCATCAAAACCTTTGTGAAGACAAGAAGATGGTTGAAAATTTTGAATTATTTAAGAAATCGATTCAATTTTCACTTTAAAATACAACCCAAGTAAAATCCGTTAAATTACGGATCGTCAAAATTGTCGAAATCTGTCAAAACCTACTTTATTTAGTGATACAACATTTTTTAAGTACGCTCGAACATTTTCTTTTGAAAACAGACAATTATACATAATAGTTAAAAAAAAAATAGTTCAAACAAAGACTTGTGATCTTTTTAAAAAAAAAAAATATAATTGATTTTCTAGAAGGGTGTCAAAAATAGAAAACAAATATTCTAAACTTCATGTTAAAGAAATATATGTAAAGTATTTATATATATTGCATTTAGATAATGAACACTATATATCACGTTTATTCTAATAATATTTGAAGAATTCAAAATGTAAGTAATTTTATTTTTATTTATAATTCTTTAAAATGTCTAGTTATCGAATCTTTAAAAGTTAAATAATTTGTATTTTTTATTTATTTTTTTTTTTTTGTTAGGTTAATTTATTATACCAGAATTTTTTTTTTTTTTTTTATAGAACGGTGCGGTGAACATGTGATTATCAACTTTACTTTTGGGAAAGCTGTTAAAAGAAGTTAGCAAGGCGTGAACCCAAGCATATAGAGATCATATAAAAAATATCTTTTTAAATGCACAATGGTATATATCGTAGGTGTGTAGGTGAGGTATATGTTAAAGAACTTAGACCATATAGTGTTGTCTTTTTATTTCTATTGCTAAAACGGTAGATAATGACGAATTTGATGAGGGTGATAAATTTGTCGAGAAAATTCTTTTTTCTTAATTTAGCTTAATTATTAACAAACATCAGCGACACTAAATTCTGAAGTCAGTGCCGCAGATGCGAAAGGTGTTTTGATTTTATTAAGCTTCGTTCATTTGTTGATGAAAGCAATCCTGATAGAACAGGAATTATCTCTACTCAATAAACGAGAGCAATTCTTATTAAAGCCATTCCATTAATGCAATCGCAAGTTATCCTAATTGTAATTTTAGAAAGATAGATGCGAAATAAACGGATTGATAACGTAGGAGAATATTGGAATAGTACCAAATGAGAAAGTTTCGAATATTTGGAATAAATCAAATGTCACATTTAGCGTAATTTTATAAATAAATTCGGTGTTATTTTTTTTTTTTTAATTTATAAATATTTACATCTAACGAAATAATCTATTATTGATTTCTTCAAAAATCGCATAAATAAATGTCTCACAGTGTCAAGTTGAATTGGCGTTCCTGATTTATTGAAAACATTCGTACTTTATTGATACTTTTATTATCCAAATAAATTAGCTGTTGCCTAAAAATTCGATATAAAGTTCAAATTTAGGTTTTCATAACAAACGTGAACAAGTAAAACTAAATATATTTTTATTTATTTTTTTATATTTCCGGATGATAAATTGAACCCTTTCTAAAACAGCCTTATTAAATAATGCGACTAACATTATTTACAATTTATATTATACATATATTTATATTTATATTTACAAATTAGTACCGGATTTTTGCTCTCACACCAAGCTAATTTATTCAAGAATGATTTTGGATAGGTTCTTATGAGCAACTTTCTTATCTCGTCCATTATCAGAATAAATGCAGGAAATCCGAGAGGAATGAAATAAAATTTTACTGGAATCGGTCTGTTTGGATTAATTAATCAAATGAGAAGTAAAGAAAAAATTTAATCTAGTATGCAAAGTAGAATAGAAAAGAATAATTATATTTTACCTTGTATTAAAAACATTATTGAAGAAGGGTACGTAAAGTATAACCAACATAGTTATAAGGGAGATAAACGTTGCTCCAAATAAATATAAATTTTTCGTTGGCCCTGAAAATGGATTTGATTGGAATATTGATCTGCGTCGTGTTCGGATGGATAAGAGGTTTCCAAATTGAGTAATTACCAATGTTGCAAAGCATATACTTTGACCTGTGTACTAATTAAAACAAAGGTAAATTTCTTATGAGGAATGTAGTTTCTAGATAATGAGTGAATGTATCATATTGAAATCGTATCATACATTGAGTTCGTTAAGTTCGTCCATCGTCTTTCCCATAAATCCCATCTCCCCAGTTGTTAAATGCTGCATTATAGTTATGATCAAAGAATTTAGCAAACGTGAACAACCAATTTTGGATTATGATATTCTAACTATAATTTACCTAGTACTGTATCCCTAAAAGATATACCACCATAAAAGGATAAATACGTAAAGAACATCCAATGCGCAAAGAACATTTCCGTCATACCAATAAACCCATAAGCTTGCAAAAGTAATTTTGCATCTACAAGATGGTCTCTAGTTACTTTGCGTGGCTTTCGTGAAATAAGGTCCAATTCGGGTTTTTCATGCGTAAGGGATAGCGATGGGAATATGTCGGTTCTTTTAAATAAAGGTGATGTGAATGATTGGATTTATTTATAGGTAAAAAGTACACACGCGTACATACATGCAGCAAACGACAATCATGAGGAAAGGTGATAGTGGAAGTGAAATTCTAACCAAGACATTAGCTAAAACAGGCTCAACTAAATTTTTTATTTAAATTCAATAGGTTGTAAGTTATTTTGATTGGTTATTAGTATTTAATTACACTTGTTACTATAATTTAAAGTCAACTAAATTTTTTATTTAAAAAAATAAATTTTATTAGTG